CAGGTAAGACACTCTGTAAATTGGGTTTGACATCACATCTACATCAGGTTTCACAGGTAATCTTGATAAGGCATCAGCATTGCTATGCTGCTCGGACCTCTTGTACTGGATTTCGTAAGTATAGGCTGCCAATATTAGAGCCCACCTTTGTAATCTAGCGGCTGCCAGTGTTGGTACACCTGTCTTTAGCCCTAAAATTTTCAACAGTGGCTTGTGATCGGTCAGTAACAGGAATTTCCTTACATAAAGATATTCATGGAACGTCATAACTCCAAAAACAAGACCCAGTGCCTCTTTTTCAATTTGAGAGTAATTCTGTTCTGTTTTTCGTTAACATTCTTGATGCAAATGCAATAGGTCTCTCACTTCCATCTTTCATTTGGTGGCTAATTACAGCACCAACTCCATAAGGAGAAGCATCACAAGCTAGAATGATAGGTAACTCTGCATCAAAATGTACTAACAATTTGTCTGATTGAAGAGACTTCTTTGCACCATCAAATGCACTTTGACAATTTTCTGACCACTCCCAGGCTGCATCTTTGTGAAGCAATGCTGTCATTGGCTGAATCAGTGTAGATAGGTTAGGGATAAACTTTCCATAGTAGTTTAGCAGAGCTAAGAATGACCTGAGTTCAGTTACATTTTTAGGAACTGCAGCCCTCTGAATAGCCTCTGTCTTTTCCTTCATTGGATGTATACCCATGGCATCAATGACATGGCCTAAGTATGACACACTGTTCTGCATGAATGCACACTTTTCCCTTTTTACCCTGAGATTGTAGGTTTCCAGTCGTCTAAGAACCTCTTCCAAATTAGCCAGATGACTTTCTGTATCTCTTCCAGTAATTAATATGTCGTCTAAATAGCAGATAACACCCTCCATACCTTGAAGAACCTGATCCATAATCTTTTGGAAATTAGCGGGGGCGCTAGCAACGCCATAGGATAACCTATTGTAGTGGTACAACCCTCTGTGTGTGTTTATAGTGAGGTAATGTCTTGAATTTTCCTCTAACGGTACTTGCTGGTACACCTGTGACAGGTCTAACTTGGTAAACTGCTGACCTCCTGCCAGTTTAGCAAATAAATCTTGGGTTTTGGGTAGTGGATACTGTTCCACATTTAACCAAGGATTTATGGTGACCTTGTAGTCCCCGCATATTCTCACACTGTCATCCTTTTTCGGTACACAAACTATTGGAGCTGCCCATTCGCTGTAATTAGTGGGTGAGATGACCCCTTCAGCTTCCAATTTGGCTAATTCTCTCTCTACTGCTTCTCTCAATGCATAAGGCACGTTTCTAGGCTTACAGAACTTGGGCACAGCATCTGGAGTTACATGTAGCTTAGCTTCAATACCCTTAAGCTTGCCTAACTCAGGTTTGAATACTGATGCATGTCGTGCACACACATCATCCACAGTTTCAGGAGCCACTCTGTTGACTCTTGACCAGTCTCTACCCATTAATGCAGGACCTTTTCCTTTCACTACTAGTAGTTCTAGCTTTTCAGTGCGTTCCTTGCATTTCACCTTTACTGTGAATTTACCTAACAGTGACAATGACTCCTCACTGTACGTTTTCAGCACACAATTTGCAGGGTTAAGTTTCACAGATTTAAACTTGCGTTTAAACAGAGCTTCAGATATCACTGACACGGCTGCGCCAGTGTCTACCTCCATTCTTACCCTTGTACCATTTACACTGACATACACATAGTAGGGTTTTGTAATGCCACCCTTACCCGTGTCCATTGCAAAAAGATCAGCCCCTCCACTGACAAAAGTTTGACTAGTGTCAATGTTCTGCACAGCATCCACCATGCACCTTGTCTGCACACCGCAGCCTTCCCGGTTAATGTGGGACTGAGGCTGGGCACGATGTCCACCTGCCTGAAGATCGTGAGCGTTGCTCTGGTCCATGTGCTGTGGAGCGTAGCTCCTCTTGCGCTGGGGATCGTTGCAAACACGGCTTCCCGGTTGCTCGAGAGCGCTGGAATTCCTGCATGTCTCGTGCTTGAGATTGTTGCAACATCCATCTTCCATGTCCAAGTGCATAGTCCCCTTCGATACCTTGCCATGGCCTCCGTCCTTACGTGAGCGGCATGCTTTCGCGATGTGTCCCTTTTTTTTTACAATGATGACAATCGGTGTCCTTGAATCGGCAATCCTCCGGTCTGTGACCTTTTCCACTGCAGCGATAGCAGGGCTTTCCATTAGCTATGGGCTTTTCTGCAGCCTCTCTCTGCTTTATTCTCGCTTTCTTTTCAACTACATTTGCTTTATAGCCTTTCGGTGAAAACTGTTGTGCACTCTCCTTGGTTACTTCGAAAGAGAGCGCCATTTCAACTGCTAGCTGTAAGGTTAAATCTTTCGTGTGAGCAGCATTTAGCAACCGATCTCTTAGCTCACTGCTCTTAACTCCACAGACAAACCTATCACGCAGTGCTTCGTCTAAAAATGTTCCAAATTTGCATGTGGCGGCTAACTTTCTCAAACTTGCAATGTACTCACTTATTGTTTCGTTTTCCTTTTGATTTCTTCCGTGAAACTTGCATCTCTCAGCAATAAAGTTGGTTTTCGGAACGTAGTGCTTCTCTAGCATTTCCACCAGGACTTCATGCGTTTTATCAGATGGCTTTTCTGGCGCGGACAAATCCATCAGTAAGCTATGCGCCCTTTTCCCTACCACCATAAGAAATACAGCCTTGGTTCTCTCGTCTTTAGTGTCCAAACCATTTGCTGCAAAGTACTGCTCTAACCGCTGGCGATAACTGACAAAACTTTCCTCACTTTCCTCGAAGTGGAAATCCTCGGGCTTACCGAACGCCATCCTCTGTTCGACTGTCCTTTCACTCCCCGAACGTGTCTTTGGTCGTTTCTCGACGTGGTCTTTTACCTAGCTGGAGCTGCTTGCCATGCTAACTCTGAGACTTCTTCCCACTTAAACATCCCATCCTCGTCGCCAAAACTGTCGTGTATAAACACTAAAAATAAGTTCTAAACTGTTTAAGATAAGGAGGAAGCACACTAGGTAGACTTACGTCTAACACCAAAGTTGTATTAATTATAACAATCACCAAACGGATAGTTTTCAGCATAGAGCGAAGTACTCGGCGCCAACCCTAGTGGCGGTTCTGCCTTTTATATACTTTTTCTCAACCAATAGATGATCACCACCAATAGCATTTAACTGCGTACCACACTGGTTAATTCTGTGTTGGAACACCACACAGTCCTCCAAAGTCTCAAAGGGACTACAAAGGGGGAGGATATTTTTGGCAAAGTATGCCAAACTATGGAAGAGTTGGATCAAGACTGGTCAAAGCTTGTCACCATCACGACTGACGGGGCTCCTTGTATGGTGGGCGCATCTCGGGTCTAATAGGACGCATGAACCGGGAGATGGAAGAACGGGTCTCACCGCCCGGCTACAAGTCCACTGCCTAAGTCACCAACAAGCACTGTGCTGCAAAGTGTTGAAGTGGGATTCTGTCATGAAGGTTGTGGTGTCATGCATAAACTTCATCAGAGCAAAGGGACTTAAACACAGGCAGTTCCAACAATTCCTGTCTGAACTGGAGTCTACAGAGACTACACAGAGGTCCGATGGTTGAGCCAGGGTAGAGATTTGAGGCGTTTTTACGAGCAGCTACCCGAAATTAACGCATTTCTTCATTCTAAAGACAAAACGGTCCCAGAGCTGATCGACCCAGAATGGAAATGGCACCTTGCATTTTTAACAGACGTGACAGAAATGCTGAACAGCCTTAACTTGCAGCTACAAGGCCAGGGGAAACTCATTTGCGACATGTATTCTCACATAAAAGCATTTGAGGTGAAACTTGCGCTGCTTTTGGAACAAACGATTCCGGCAACTACACGTTAATGCAAAAGAAATCCGTCTTTTCCAGAACCCCTTTCTTGCCGACATCGATGAAGCCCAGCCTTCTTATCGGTTTGAGTTGGCCGAGTTACAGAACTGTGATGTTCTGAAAGACGCATTCAAGCCCAACAGTCTCATTGACTTCTATGCCGCCCTCCCAAACGACACGTACCCTAACATAAAAAAAACATGCAATGAAGATGTTTACACTTTTTGGCAGCACGTATATCTGCGAGCAAACCTTTTCACACATGAAACACCTGAAAACTCAGATGAGATCAAGGTTGACAGATGAACATCTGCATCAGTGTTTGACATTTTACATTATCATCATTTAGCTGACTTTTTTTTTTTTAAAGCAATTTACAGTTCATTAGGCTAGTCAAGGACCAATCCTCCCTGGGAGCAATGTGGGATTAAGGGCTCAAGGGCTCAACAGCAATGGTGTTCCTATTGTGGCTGGATTGGGGCTTGAACCGCCAACCTCTGATGAGTGAGTTGATGAGAGAGAACTGCAAACAGCGGTGTCCACAAGCCTACCGGAACCTACAAAAGGATTATAAGGAAGGAACACAAGAACTTTGAGAGACTGCTCATATGAGTCATTTGAGTAAGAGATTCTGCTCTGACAGCTAAGATAAACTTTTACCTGTTAAGATTGTGCACGGCACAACAGAAAGTTAATGTTCAATGGACTCTTTTTTGTGAAGATCCCAGAGAGGGTTATTAATATTTGGTTATGTGTTGCTTTCTGGAAAACAATAAATGTTTACGTTTAGGCACCCCTGCGATCGTCACACTTTTTCTGTTACAAACTGACCCCGGCCCTCCATCAGAGAAGGGAAAAGTTATGTGGCCCTCACAGGAAAAAGTTTGGGGACCCCGATGTACAGTATTTGAGAAAGCCCATCACTGAGGACAGTTGTGAAACAATAAGCCTTTTACGACAGACTTGGCACGCTCGTCTTCCTCCACTCTGCTCCTGGTCATTTCACAGTTGTGTTGGCAATGTGAGAAAAGAAGAGGAACCTGCACTTTTATCGTATCTGGCTGGATTAATCCGCTGGGCTGATGTTATGGCTTCCAATGCAACCAGAAGGAGGTGGGAAGTGCCACCCCAGATGGGGCTTGAACCCACTATCTCTGGTTTAGGAGGCTAGTGCCTTATCCATTAAGCCAAAACCAGGCCTAAAGGGACTGCTACAGGTGGGGTAAAAAGAGGAAAAAGGGGGAAAAGGGAAAAAGAAAAAATAATGGACTATACTCCACTATATTCACTTATTTTCAGAGGAATTACAAATTGATACAGACATAAAATGCTTTTCATGTTTATTTTCTCTGACAGTGTATTTGACAGTATATCTGAATGTGTCTTTCTTATGTTTCAATGTGGTTATCCAAAACTAGTAATCTTGTACAAAACCTATTTTTAGAATCAATTTCACCACAGCAAAACAATAGGACAGTCAACATGCTGATTTGTGGCATGTACCTTAGGCTGGCTGGGTGGAGCCTCCATCCCTGTGTGTGTACTTGCAGACACTGCAGTCCCAGTTCTGGCACAGTGGCGTTGGCGAATTACTGCCTCACCCTCCCGGTTTTCAGGCTCCTGGAATTCCATTTCCACGTGTCCACCGTCCACAGGTGCAGATGGAAGCTCTCTTGCTTTTGGCAGACAATCCTTAGCTACATGGACCTGCTAAGGCACCTTGCAACGAGTCACGGTCTGTTCTTTTCTGCCGGTCGAGCAGCATATATATATATATACACACACACACACACACACACACACACAGCTCCAAAAAATAAAGGGAACACTTAAACAACACAATGTAACTCCAAGTCAATCACACTTCTGTAAAATCAAACTGTCCACTTAGGAAGCAACACTGATTGACAATCAATTTCACATGCTGTAGTGCAAATGGAATAGACAACAGTTGGAAATTATAGGCAATTAGCAAGACACCCCCAATAAAGGAGTGGTTCTGCAGGTGGTGACCACAGGCCACTTCTTTCTGGCTGATGTTTTGGTCACTTTTGAATGTTAGCAGTGCTTTCACTCTAGGTAGTGCAGCTCATCCAGGATGGCACATCAATACGAGCTGTGGCAAGAAGGATTGCTGTGTCTGTCAGCGTAGTGTCCAGAGCATGGAGGTGCTACCAGGAGACAGGCCAGTACATCAGGAGACGTGGAGGAGGCCGTAGGAGGGCAACAACCCAGCAGCTGGACCGCTACCTCCACTTTTGTGCAAGGAGGAACAGGAGGAGCACTGCCAGAGCCCTGCAAAATGACCTCCAGCAGGCCACAAATGTGCATGTGTCTGCTCAAACGGTCAGAAACAGACTCCATGAGGGTGGTATGAGGGCCCGACATCCACAGGTGGGGGTTGTGCTTACAGCCCAACACCTTGCAGGACGTTTGGCATTTGCCAGAGAACACTAAGATTGGCAAATTCGCCACTGGCGCCCTGTGCTCTTGACAGATGAAAGCAGGTTCACACTGAGCACATGTGACAGACGTGACAGAGTCTGGAGACGCCGTGGAGAACGTTCTGCTGCCTGCAACATCCTCCAGCATGACGGGTTTGGCAGTGGGTCAGTAATGGTGTGGGGTGGCATTTCTTTGGGGGGCCGCACTGCCCTCCATGTGCTCGCCAGAGGTAGCCTGACTGCCATTATGTACCCAGATGAGATCCTCAGACCCCTTGTGAGACCATATGCTGGTGCGGTTGGCCCTGGGTTCCTCCTAATGCAAGAAAATGCTAGACCTTATGTGGCTGCAGTGTGTCAGCAGTTCCTGCAAGACGAAGGCATTGATGCTATGGACTGGCCCACCCGCTCCCCAGACCTGAATCCAATTGAGCACATCTGGGACATCATGTCTCGTTCCATCCACCAACGCCACGGACAATGGATGCTTTAGTCCAGGTCTGGGAGGAGATCCCTCAGGAGACCATCCACCACCTCATCAGGAGCATGCCCAGGCATTGTAGGGAGGTCATACAGGCACGTGGAGGCCACACATACTACTGAGCCTCATTTTGACTTGTTTTAATGACATTACATCAAAGTTGGATCAGCCTGTAGTGTGTTTTTCCACTTTAATTTTGAGTGTGACTCCAAATCCAGACCTCCATGGGTTAATAAATTTCATTTACATTGATAATTTTTGTGTGATTTTGTTGTCAGCACATTCAATTATGTAAAGAACAAAGTATTTAATAACAATATTTCATTCATTCAGATCTAGGATGTGTTATTTCAGTGTTCCCTTTATTTTTTTGAGCAGTGTATTAATTCAAGCAGGATTCCTTAGCATAATCAACATATCTCACCAAGAAGACACTGTGGTGCCGTTGGTGGTAACAAGCATCAAGTTGGTCTGGTCCCGTATCACTTGGCTGTCTTCAAGCAGCTGCTTGATGTGATTGTATGTTACCACAATTGACTGTGGGATGGGCAGTGTTCTCCCCTTGCAGTCTTTAGGCCTATTTCTAGTTTGCCAGTACTCCTTCAAGAGCCTGAGACACACACATTCTGAAACCCTGTGGACATCAGGTCTTTGGGCAGCCAGGCCATGAGTCATGAAGAGTCTGTGGGGGAAAAAAGAGTTATGTAATCAGTGCTGTAATTTAGTCTGGTGATTTACTGAACAATTATGAACAATACTAATTATGTTAGTGTGTGCAATGTCTGCAGCCACTGAATGTCAGTTTACCTCTCAGCTGCTTGTTGACCAGCTACTTCCTGGAGGCTCTCCATGGACCTGGCAAGATCCTCCTCTTGCATTTAAGGGCGTATTTGGAGGGGGACTTGTCCATAGTGTCTAGACACATGTACAACTGCACAATCTCAGTTGTCTCTGTCGTTGACAAGGCAGTTATTGTGCGATTAAGGCATCCTGCCAAATTGTCAACTGCCTCCCAACCAGGGACACCTCTTGCATCATATCGGGTTTTCTGAAAAATATCATTTAAAAATGCCAAAAAAATCTCTTCAATGTTTTGTAATAACACAAACAAGCCATCATCATAGACAATCAACAGTCATTAGCCAGATTACCTGAGGTGACATGCTGGACCCACCAGACTCAATGTCCTCATCAACGCCACTTGTGGCTGGAGAGTCAGGACTGTTTGGGACATCTGTTACGGCCATAGTCTCCGCTCTGGATCCCGTGTGCACATGTAGGGTTGCCTCCTTAAGTCATGTATTAAGTGTGTTTTAAAATTTGCTATAATTAAAGATAAATAGTTATTTAGTGGTTAGCTGCAGAATATTTTGGTGGTAGTTATCGTTGGGCTTGAAATGGAGTCATGCAAAGGTGCACCTGTCCCTTTAAGTGTTTGGTTGGATCTCATGGGTAGGGGGCGGAGTGATTGAGTGCCAGCATGTATAAAGTTGGTGGAAAATGGTTGTCTCGAGGAGAAGCCGAAAGGAGAAGAAAAGAGAAAACAGCGAGTGCCAGTACTTTGTATGCCACCACCTGGAGACCAACTGTGGAGGAAGGACTGCAGCTAACTTCAAAAAAAAGTAAAAAATCCAAAACCACAGACTGAGCTGGTCCGTCAAAGTGGAAGACTGCATGCTGGACTTGGCCGAGGACCCGGGAGATACATCCTGAGGGGTTTGTGGCGCCTGTACTTGGTAAGCACCTTTGACTTTGTTGGCTGCCATCTCATGTCCAGGATAAAACTTTGGGGGATATCTTTCAGGGGTCTAGGAGAGGTGTGCAGGGAATGTTAGGGCGTGGCAGGGGAGGTTTACCCCAAGCAAACGAAGGCCTATAATTGCGGTGGGCTTACAGCTGGCCTCCTATGCCCGCTCGTAACAATTGGGGGCTCGTCCGGGATCTGAAGCTCTGTGGATGTATATGATATTGTAAATCAGTGTGGGGATTTACTAGGCTAACCGCTAGATCCCTAGTAGTTTAGTTTACCAACCAACAAGCACTAATTATATCATCCATTTTAAAACTGATCTACAATTAAGCATTCAAAGTCTGTGTTTGATAGCTCTTTCCCTTCCTTCTATATTAGTATTTATAAGGAGTATTAGAAGTTAGGCCTAGCATTTTGCTAGCAAACTATTCCTGTGCACAGGGTTAGCAGTACTGGGGTTTATTAGCCTGCTAAAGGGGGCACACCGCCAGGTTAGGTAGGTTTCCTTGGATGTGCTGGCCCAGGACTCAAAGTAGCCGAGCCGTACATGCGCCTGCAGGTACAAGAATGCCTGGACTTGGTAAGCACCTTTGACTTCGTTGGCTGCCGTTGGAATGTTAGGGCGTGGCAGGGGAGGTTTACCCCTAACAAACGAAGGCCTATAATTGCGGTGGGCTTACAGCTGGCCTCCTATGCCCGCTCGTAACACATCACTCTCATCAACTCTGGTTTCCTGGAGAAATAAATGGGTAGCTGTTATTGTAGGGATGTGGACAATATGATTGCTTGATAACAAACATCCTTTCACAGAATCATTTTTTAGTAATGAAACTGAGACACGAAATCATGGCACAAATCAATTGCAACACTTGCAGATAAATAACGTCAACAAAACTAGGACACAGACAGTCATCCAAAGTCCATATTACCTGGGATGATGTATTGGACAAATGGCCCAATTCACTTTGAGGAGTGGGAGTGCTCAGTGCACTGTCTTGCTCTGGACACTGGGGTACTTCATCATCCAAGATGTCAGCTGCATCACAAATTTTGACACCAATGCCCTCCTCCTTTGGAACTTCCACCCGAATGTCTGGCAAAGTGATGCCAATCTCACTGTGCTGTAGTGGAGCCAGCAGGTCTCCTCTGTCAGATTGTGCCAGCAAATATTCCACAGCAATGCACTCACCTGTCATAAAGGATTGTCATGAGAACAATTGTGAGCTCAGAATAATCAGGAGAAGGAGTGATGAGGCTAGTTGTTTTTCCAGTGTCAACAACATTTGCTGAATGAACTGCAAAAAGGTGTGGTCCCTGGTAGAACAGTGTCCAGTGATTCTGCTGCAGACTCTTACCAGTGGGTTTTCCAGGTGGTGTGAATTCTGGCAGGAGCGCACATTGGAGGACTCTTCTGCTGAGAGCATTCAAGTTAGACATCAAACGGACATTGTAGATTTTTGTTTTGGATGCACCACTGATGTCCACAGCTTGATACGCTCGGTTCATGTTCCATCTGGATCCACCT